TGGCTTCATGACTGCCTCTGACTTCTTCTCTGAAACTTAAGACACATTACTGATGAAAGCATTTATTTTCCCTGAGAGTAGCAGTGTTCTAAAATGCAGTGCTGTGTCTTTGGGATCTTGTGTAACTATGCTAGATGTTTCCTGAGTTCAGTGTGGTTAGAGAAGCGTGCTGCTCTCACATTAAAAGACAAATCAAAAGCAGTCTAAATTCAAAATGGCATATTGTTGGATTTTGGGTCCCGTATGCTTCGTGAACAGGCACAGCTGCAGTGCATCTTTTCTGAGAAGAATGCTTATTAGCCTTTCAAATGAGCCCCAAAATACTCTGGTGACAGATGATACTGATTTGTTTTATTGGCCCTCGAAATCCTGATTTCCATGAAGCCCTATGGTTGCTATGAATGTGGAATATGTCGCAGTTTCTATTTCCTGGGTGCCTCTGCAATGTGGGCAATGAAGGGGCTGATAACTGACTGCTCAGGAGCCTCGCAGCCTTGTGGCCCTTCAGAGGGCACCTGCTCCAAATGTTGATCTCACCATCTAGTCACTCATCATGAGTCCCACCCTAAAAACCAGGATGATGTCAGCTGCCTGCAGCACATGGGGGTCAGATTGGGAGATGATCAAACGCACGATTCAACTGAGCTCCAGATGATCTTATCCGGACACCGCCCACTCATCCATGAGCAGAAAAGGACAATTACACATTTGATTTATAACTTTAAGGGTGGGGTTTACTAAAGTTGATGTTTCCTTGACCCACTTTGAGGTGTTTGTCTGAAGCCCTGATGTTGTTCTCTTGCCAGGGTAAGTGATCCACGGTTTTTCTGTGCAGCGAAACTCAGAGTCCATTCAGCTGTGTGAAATGCTCGAGGCTGTGAAGTCACTGTGGGAAGTCATCTAACCCTGAAAAGAGGCATCTGCCAGGCATTTCTTCACCAGCAGACAATCCCCCCCAAAAAATGTTCCTGTTTCAAATCAATTTCGATGAGGATATTTTGGACAGGATTCAGATGAATTGGTCAGGGGCATTAGCGTGCTTTTGGGACACATGTGGCGAGGGTGAGACAGCGGGGGATATCCTTATTTTTGGAATGTCGGGGGGCTTGTGCAATTTAGCAACACAGATTAGAAACTCAATTCTGAGAATGGGAGGGAAAAAAAACGCCACATACTTTTTGAGAGTCTGAGATATAAATATCTCTTATAGAAGAAATGTGAGCAGCTAATCCATTTATCATACACCAGATTAACAACTCAAGACAAATAATGCATGGAAAATCCTGAAACCTATCAATCAATAGCCCTTCATTTAACATGTTTTAATCTTTGTGTCTCCTTATGTGAACTGTTACTAACAAAATGTCCTTAAAAGGAGAGGCTATGTGCAAAACGTCTTAATGGCAGTACAAAAAACCCACTTCTAGCAATAGTATTAGCTCAGAGATTCCTGCAATCCGTGTCTCTGTCTGATCTTATCAGTGACCCACCGGTAGAGAGAGATCTGCATGCTGCTGACTGTCAGATCAGCGAATGAATGCAGGCTCTTATCTCTTCTCCCGCTCTGACAACTCTGAACTCAACATGAACTGACTCTTTCCCTCCAACAAATTAAGATTGAGAGTTTTTACAACAGAAAGTAAAGAGGATCTTTGTGTGGGCTGGGTAGACACGAGACACACAAGTACCCACGGATAGATTCTGTAACTTAGTTTCTTTCATTACCGAAACATGAGGGTTGAAAGACAAAGGTGAGGTGTACCTGCAGAACAGAGATCCTTTGTTGCACAAAATGATTTGTTTTGACACAGACGCAGAAGAACGGAGCCTTTGCTGCTGCAAGTCGCGTGCATCAGGTGTGATTTATCTGTTTACATGATAACTGTAACACAAAGAGGCTGGTTACTGGGGAAGCACACATTTGGCTTTGTCCACCTGAAGTTTCTGATACCGTGACTCAATTTGCAAATATACAGAGAATAAACATCTGATACCAGTCCCTCGCCAAAGTAAGATACTCCATTTACCTTACTGTGTGACAATATTTGGAAAGGCAAGCTGTTGTTGTGGTACCAAAAACTGTGAATGAACAAATGTAACATATACGGGAAACACTGAGTTTTATAATGACAAAGAAAATGTTTATGTGGATCAGCCATATCCTGGCTGATACCCATCAGGCAAATCAGATAACAACGGAAATGCCTTTTGAAAAATAAAAATAAAATGAACTTTCAACTTTCCTGACTTATAAGATAAGGCTTGCAATATTAAAAATGTTTCTTATTGTTAGCAAATCCCAAGAAAAGGCCCAAACCAACAATAAGTTGACTCTACAAACAAGTGTCTCTATACAGGAAGTCCTTGGTGCCACAGATTTGAATAATTGGCTGAAAATAGTCCCCAACAAAACTGCTGAGAACAAGACCAATACTTTCTTTAATTCAAGAAAATAAGACACTCTCTTCAAAGAAGGTAAAAAGTCTCCGCACCCCCTTTTCTCAATTGTATTCAGAATTCTACTTTTTCAGATATTCTAAAATAAATAAATTAATGATTTCTATGATGTGTTAATGTGCTGTTGAATGCTCTTGTTATTATGTGTTTTGATTTGCTTTTATCCTTGCTGGTATTTGCGTGTTATTGCTCCGGGTCTAGTGGGGTCGGTGCCCACTTCCTTATAAAAACACATGTCTTTGTTCCTTGGTGGCACACAATAAAAGGTGCTTTATTTGTATTAGATACAAATGTTGTATAATCCTGCAAAAACCCAATATGAAAAAGAATAAAAAACTCAAACAAAGTCCAGCTGCTTTGCAAAAAGTGAAACAATGTGGGTTTTTTGGCGGGTTTTCTTCACAATGTACGTCCTGAGTAGGAATAAACTTGTTCAGAATAACACCAGACGAGGTGTTACGTGCCAGGCAGGCTACTTGTGTTGTTCTCCTTCCCTCCTGTTTTTCTCTCATTACATTACATTACCACTACCCCCACTACCTCCCTTCTCCCTGTCTTCTGCACAGCTAATCAGCAGCTGATCGGTATCTGCCTGTGCACCTGAGTCTGATGTGTTTAGCAACTCATTCTCTTTGTTTTGTCTGACCTTTGTGAAAGTGTGTGTGTTGAGAGGTGGAGGAGTTAGGTAAGTCTGGGGTACCCTGTACACAGGGGCGGACTGGGACTACAAATCAGCCCGGGACTCTCGACCGGCCCACTTCGGTACCGCCGGCCCACCTCGGTAAAATACTAACGGGGGGGGTGCTAGTGACTTATCCGAGCGGCCCACCTCGGTGCCGCAAGTATATACCGCGAGGAAATTGGCTACGGGGGGTGGTGCTAGTGACTTATCCGAGCGGCCCACCTCGGTGCCGCAAGTATATACCGCGAGGAAATTGTCTACGGGGGGGGGGGGGGGGGTGCTGGTGACTTATCCGAGCGGCCCACATCGTCCGACCGGCCCACTTCAGTACCGGCCCATCGGGATTCGTCCCGAACGTCCCGATGGCCAGTCCGCCCCTGCCTGTACATTTCTCATCACGTAGGTAACTAATGTTTAGACACACTAGGTTAGCGGATTGTTGCCACCCCTGTATTCTGTTTTGTCCAATTCTGAGTAGTTTAGTTAGTGAGGGTTTTGGTTTCAAAGGATAGATGTAGAGATAGGCCTGGTTTTGTTATGCTTGTTTCTTTTGTTTGGCACAATCTCCTTTGACTCCTCCTCCTCCTCACACACAGAGGGCGTACTCCGTTTGGAGAAATATCGAGGCTGCACATGAGTAGACTCCGCGGTCTTAAAATCCCCACAATGCTTTGCGCACGGACCAATTTCCCCAAATCTTTTTAAGACCGCGGAGTTTACTCATGTGCAGCCTCGATATTTCTCCAAACGGAGTACGCCGGCCTCGGTAGATTTCCAAGTATGCTGGAGATTGGAACAGTACTTCGGCGGCACTCGATGACATAGTATGCTTGAAATAGTGGCTCTGGAGCAGCTTTACTCGCGATTGAGAAACACCCAGAGTATTTCTGTTCAATTTATGTTCAGTTCTAGGTTTACAAGAAATAAACCTTTTGTCAACCTTTACGCTGACTCCCTCATTTTTATTGGTTGTTGTGTGTTATTGTCTCCAGGTCCCCTAGACCTTAGTGGGGACGTAACACAAATGGCTCCCCGCCAGGGAATCGAACCCCGGTCTTCTCCGTGACAAGCAGAGATACTGGGTGTTTCTCAATCGCGAGTACGCTTGCTTGGTAGCACATGTCTGCCGAGCATCTTGCTTCAGAAGCGAGTCAAGAATACTTCCTGGCATTCGGAAAACAAAGTGTGGAACACGCTAGCAAGTGTGCAGGTGTGCGTCATATGAGAGGCCCCGCCATACATCTTCCGCCACAGATTTGGGGAAATTGGTCCGTGCGCAAAGCATTGTGGGGATTTTAAGACCGCGAAGTCTACTCATGTGCAGACTCGATATTTCTCCAAACGGAGTACGCCGGGCTCGGTAGATTTCCAAGTATACTGGAGATTGGAACAGTACTTCGGCGGCACTCGATGACGTAGTATGCTTGAAATAGTGGCTCTGAAGCAGCTTTACTCGCGATTGAGAAACACCCACTGTCCACTATACTAAAGAGGAATAACACATCCACCTTATAACATCTGGACCAAATGACAGAAGCTACCTTCATCACTCACTGGTGAAGAAGACCCACTATGGCTCTTTAAAAACATCTTATAAGTATCCACCTTACACTTATTCAGGCACTTAAACAACAGAAGACTGTATGTCAGTATTTTGGGGTTTGTCTTACTGAGGATACCATTCATATGGTGACATCTGGTGGACACTCTTTGTCATGATCGAAATGTAGACGAGTCATGATGAAAGCAAGCTCTAGACAGCAGCAAGAAAGAACTTGCTGCATTTTGACACATTTAAGAGTCTTAACAGCTTCTCAAACTATGAAATACTGGGACCTCTGAAATGAAATTAGCCATACACTTTTGAAAAAAAAAAGGTGGTGTTTTATTATATGTTTTTCATACAAGTTTAAATGTGATAAAACAATACACATATTAATCTACTGCTGTACTCTATTACGTGTCAGTACAATGAATTAAAACACAGGAAGTCAGAAAGCACAAACTAAGAAACTGGATGTATTTCTTCATAAAATAATAACTAAATATTCACTTATTAGTTGTATTTTTCTGCTATTTCAATTCATGATCAGATTATTTTAGAGCACTGCTTCCTACAATTGCTTGATGAGATTTTTTGTTACAGAAGAAAGTAAGCCAAATCATATCAGTAAATCTGTTATCGCTGCAGATGGCTCAGTAAGTGTATGTTATTAAACATGATCAGACCTAGACTGTCCTCCTCAGTGAGGTGTGTTCACTGAGCTGGAGCGCCCTGGTTCTTCCTTTCCTGCCACGACTTCTTCCTCAGCTCCAGCTCAACATCAGTGAATGAAGCCGGACCCCAGTTAGTGATCCTCTGAGGACCTTTATGACCTAAAAAATCAGATCACAAATAAGGAGGGGAGGTGTTTTAAAAAGATGAACTTGCAGAAAAATTCCTCATGATGCTTTTCGTTGTGCTGGTTGTTGAAACTTTGCAAACCTTTCTTATCAAACTATTTTTAATCTGTAGGCACAAGGGACTGCTGTATTTTCTATGAATTTTAATCAAGTATTTCGTTTCTTTGAACTCATAGCAGGTTGAATATCAAAGATAAGCCTACATGCAGTGCAAACTAATATTTATTATGAAAGACATTCCAAAAAACGGAATATTAGCATATTTTCCTGATATTCAAAAATCCTTAATTACTTCCATACTTGAGTTCAACACATTAGTACAAAGGTTTTTTCTGATCATATTAAATAAAGTCACAAACAGTGGCAACCCAGTTTTGAGGGCAGCTCCACGGACTGAGCTACTGCCTGCTATTATTGTCACACATGAACAAAGCACAGCACACACAGTGAAATGCAGACTCTGGCTTTAACCCATCATAGTATTGGGAGCAGTGGGCACCTATTATCTTTCATAGGACCCTGGGAGGAGCACAGAAAGCCCCGTTTCCATGAACTTGATGCACAGAGCTAAATGCCGGTGAAATACACCTGTCTTATGTTGATTTATTTTACAACTGATGTTCGTACCTGGCTGGATGAGACGCACCAGACCCTCATGTTTGGCCACCTTGTCCTTCCAAGTCTTTGTCTTGTTAGCTGCTCGTTCAAGCTTCATCGACACCTCCTGTATTACATAAGGAGGAAGTTAGATAAAATAAATTAGAATCCATTCTGGTGTCATATTTCAGATCATTTCCCACATGTTGTTTGCTCATGTATTTCTATGGTCCTCATCTAATAAAGGCTGATAATCTTGAAAAATGTGTATCAATAATCTTCAAATAATACCTTAATAAAAACCTTAATTCTTATACTTGTAATCCTCATAACAGACTGACTTATTTTAACTGAACAACATTTATAAGAATCTTCAAGCCTCAATCAAATAAATAAAACAAATCTGATGTAAAATACAAACATACTAGTTGGCGAATGAAGACAGAAGTATATTGCATTCTGCTTAATGGAATTATTAATAAAGAATATATCTATTTTTGATGCCGAGGGTCAGTTTCTACCCTCCTCCTGTGGGAGCTGACCTGGTACTGCTCCAGCGCCCCGAGCCGCTCCCTCTCCAGCTTCTCCAGCTGCAGCATGGCCGCCTGCAGCTCTCTCTCTTTGACCCGCTGCTCGGCCACCAGCTCCTGCTTCTCCGCCTCTGTCTGCGACAGCGCCCTCTGCTGCTGCTGGTGGAACCGCTCCAGCTCGGCCCGCTTCGCTGCCTCCTCCTCCAGCAGACTGTGGGGGTGAACACAGCAATGATGCTTACATTTCATTAGGGTTGAATAGCATAGTTATAAACAAATTCAGCCCTATTCTTAAAAAAAGGGAAATGGGGAGCTTGAGCCATAAAAGGAACATTAGAAAAAATCCAAAACAGTTTGAAAGTTCATTACAGGCAGAGAACAGACAATCACATTCACTTCAAATCAGTTCTGCTTGCGTTCACTTTAGCAGGACAATAGTAGCATGTGCTGCTCACTGAGCATTTCTCACAGGCAGGAGGAACAATGCAAGTATCCGTCACCTGGCCTGCAGCTTGTGCATGGCCTCCTCGTCCTGCTTGGCCTGCTTCTCGTCCTCTAAGGCCTCCTCCAGGCGGCGGTACATGTCCTCCAGCTCGCGGACGCGCAGCAGGTACTGCTCCAGCTCACTGGACTTCTGAGCCACCTGCTCCTCCATCTGCTGACGCACCTAAGAGGCAACACACACATTCACACACAGTTTCTCAGATTCCAATGTAATGTGATGTATTTAAACTGCTTGTTTTGTCACATTATTTGTTACAAAATAGAGACAATCAAGAAATCTCATTGTTTGAGAGCTTAAAAAATTTCCTTTCCCGCCATTTTGGCAACGGATACAGCTCATATCAATAAAATCAATAGTGTCATTTTCAAATGTGATGCTCTACTGTGACTGTATTTTGCTATATTGTATGTGCTGTATTTTTATTTATTTACACTCACCAATTGTTTCTCCTATGACGCAATCCAAGCCAACAATTATGTTTTTTATTATAAAAGGCATTTGTCTGTTAAGTCTCTTGAGTAAGAAGATGATTCATACTGTGCATGTGAAACGCAGACCACTGACTCAACATCACGTGATGTATCAGCTTAACTTTTAGTTTTGTTTCCTTAAAGAACAGAACCACAGACGGGTGACTAGACAGTCTTAGTTTACCAGACTTTTCTCTGTTTAGTTGTAAGACCACGTGCCACCACACATGCAGTGACATCATTTGTCGGCCAACATGATCGGGATAAAGGGACATGTTTGTGGAGTCAGATTCAGACACCATGGTTACCATTTTCTCTCTCTCCAGGTCCAGTCTGTAACGATCCTGCAGGTCTAACTGCGTCTGCTTCCTCCTGTGCTCTTCTTCTGCTGCTCTGGCTGCAGCCTCTTCCATTTTCTGTCAAGCCAGAAAAAGAGGGAAGAGCTGTTACTTCTCTTTATTGGAGATATTTATAAAGGTTGGTTACATTAAAAAGTCATCTGTAGTTCAGTGTGCTCTTCTCTCTCTAAATAACATTGTATTTGGTAAATCCAAGGTGATTTCAGAAGAAGATCAATGTATTCAAAAACCTTATGTGACATGATCAGTAATTGGCTTTTCACAGAAAAAAGAGGGTTTGACATTTGAAGAGCCATCTGGCAGAAAAAACAGAAGTGAGAAGCCATCAATAAACTCCTGCAGCTCTGAAATAAGTTAATACGCCGGATGCGCACTCACTGCAGGTATTTGTGACGGACATATCATTTCATTTGCATAGCAGGTTTTACTTCCCCCTTCTTTCTCAGTAATCTGCGGCATGAATTCTGGGTTTTTTGGCTGTCGGCTGGGATTTATTTCAAACAACAATATGCTAAAATAAAGGGAAGTGGACTAAAAACTCCTAGAACTCAGTAGATTAACATCAAACAGTTTGAAAAATGTTAAGTCTAGTTTGTAGTCTTGTTGGATTGCACTGTTATATATTATATACAATATAATTTCATTTAAATTAATAGGGGAGCACAAAGATTTTCTGTGATTCTTTTCATTAAAAAGCAACAGAGAAAAATATGTTAAGTTATAAAAATGATGAAAGAGCTTTCCTTAGAAGATATAGAATTGTATACTAAAAAAAAAAAATTCAGTTTGAACTGATTTTCTATTTTCTTGGCCTACTTGTGTTTATTTTTGCACCTTTTCGCTATGATTTTGACCTTTTGTATGATGCACTCTGTTTGTTGCTGACGTGCTATATATAAATACACCTGAATTTATATCTAGAAAAAAGTTTTCCCTGGGGCCAACATGACTTGACACATTCTGGTTTTTAACATTAGAGCTGTGCCGATGGTAACTGGACACAACGAGGTGTGGCAACCTCCTTATCAGTCAGGGTACAGGTTTGAGGGGCTGAGCAGGGAGCAGTACCTTCCTCATTCCCTCCAGCTGTCTCTGTTTGTTCTCATTGGCCGCCTGCAGATGCTTCATCCTCTCCGCCAGGTCGTCCTCCTCCGTCTGCTGCCTCTGCCGGAGCTCCCTGCGCCTCAGCCGGGCCTCGCGGTGAGGGGACGGCAGCCCCAACCTCAGCAGCTGGAGGCACGTCTGGATAGCTACCACAAGAGGAAGATATGGGTGCACTGTTGAGTCAACGATGACATTTAGAGTCAATGATGAAGAAAATTAAGAGACAACGATGACAGGACTCTTACCTTGAAGCCATTCCTGCTTTTTCTTTTTGTCTGAGGCGCTGATCTCAAAGCTTTTATCAGTGCACTTGATAATGAACATGCATTTCTTCCCTTCTTTATCCGGGAGAGACTGCAGGACAGAGAAAACACCACTTCAGTCCCACCATACTAAATACACAAAACCATGTAGGAACAATTCAACAATGCTTAATCTATTTCTGATCTATCTCACTATCCGTCAGGAAATATCAGTTATAATGTCACTTCAAATATTTTAATCAATACAACCTCCATCAATCATCAATCCAATTTGATTTATATAGGCCAAAATGATATGAAATTACAAATAACACATTTGTCTTGAGTGGCGTTACAGTGTGTACAGTAAATGACACCCTTAGAACCTCTCCTACTTAACAGCATTACTTCCATATGATATGTTATTTACTATAAAAGGGTATCAACACACCTCCACACAGCAGGTTGGGTCCAGAATGATGTCTCCTTTCTTCTCCACAAGGTCTTCACAGACGTAGTATGACAGTGAGTTGGGTCCAAGGACAAACCACCGCTCGGTCCAGTTCTTCCTTTTGTGACCCTTTTTCATCATGTATCCCTTCCAAACACAGTTTAGCCGTTAACAGAGACACCTGATTCACGCTGACATAATCACTGTGACATATAAACAAAACAAGTAATGCCACCTTGATAATTCATAAAGCAAATAACTGATCATTGAGAAAACACATGGAATATATGTACAAGTATACAGTAGATGTATCATAGTTGTACACTGCAGAATTAGAGTTGAGTTATTTTTAATAAATACATTGAATATTTGTGCATTTAGGTTATGAATGTGTTTGATTGTGTTTACGTTATCATTAATACCACAAAGGATGTGAGGAGATGAGCTACTGTTATGCGGTGTTGCAATATATATAGTAAAGTTGTCATAACTGTACAACTTTACAGTTTTAAGGAACTTTAAGAAAAAAACCGAACAAGCTAAATCTTTATGGAAAACTACACTTGTGTTTCTGTTCAACCAAATAATACTTGACTGATTTTTATCTTTATTTCCAAAAAAAAGATATTCTTATATAGGAATACAGTAATTTATTTAAATATCTGGGTTTTTTTCTACTTTGTGAACAAAGCAGAACAAATGTAATTGTGTGTGGGTTACAAATAATAAATTAGATGAATGTCCTGTCTAACCTGCTTGAGCACATCCAGTATGAGCTCCTGGAAGACCTCCCCGATGCCCATGGAGAGGGTCTGCCGGGTCATGCCCTTAGTGAAGTGACCCAGCCCCAGCAGCTCGATCAGCTCCCAGGCACTCAGGCGGTTATTCTTTGAGTGCAACTGCAGCTTGTAATCGCAAAACTTCTCCTCACTCCATCCACTCCCTATGGCCTCCATCAGCTTTCGAAGGAAGTACTCAATCTAAGGAGACAAAATAACTTGAACCATGTATGGAGAAGGGGGAGGTTAAAGTGTCTTTGCTTCATTATTAACTGGCAGGAAAGAAATCCCACAGAAAACAAGGATTCTCCCTCACCTCCTCAGTAATCATGACCAGTGGGTATTTGTCTTCTGACAGAAAGTTGGAAATGCACCAGACTTTGAAAGCATCGTCATCTGAGATGAGTAGGTGTTTAGTGGAGATATTTTTCTTGTAACACAGTGTCCAGCACATCTTGTTGAATTCAAGTACATCAAATTCCTCCTGCACCTGAGAATGAAAACACACCATTCAGTCAGTCAGACGGGGCGGCAGCACCAGTGAAGGCAGCGTGTTTACAAATGCTAAGCAGGAGACTGGTGTTAGTCTCCTTTCAGAACCTCCATTCTGCAGGATGGGAGGTACAAACCTGATGTCATTAAATGCCTCATTTTGATTCAAGTCAGAGCCCTCAAGAAAAAGGCAAGAAAACAGCTTCCAAGTACAAAGAGTGAAACTCAAGCAGTTACTGGCTGACATGAGACTTTATCAGATGTGTTATTGCAGAGTTCGCATAGCTACAGGGAGAACAAATCGACCCCCCCTTTTGCAAAGAGTGTATAAGGATGTAGCCCATTGTATGTACTCGTTTTTTGTACTGCCAAAGAATAAATAATAGAAAAAGCACATTCTTCCTGTTGGCACAGCAGAGAAGTGGTTTTTACCATTTCCTCTACCACAGAGCAAAACAGGTCATGATTAGTCATACTAATCTGTGTCATGCACTCTTCAACAGAGAATAAGAGTGTTTTATTTTAACCTACTGTTACTATTTATGTAACTGTCTGATTCTTTCTTTAAATTGTTTTTATTTAAGTTAAAAAGCTTTCCATGGCAAAGTTCAACAGTGTAAATGAGAGTTTTGGTACCACTAGGGCTACATCATCCCTTTTGGACTCAAATTTGATTATGTTTATATACAGTTTATACATATACATATATATATATATATATATATATATATATATATATATATATATATATATATATATACATATATATACATAACAATGTAACAATAACAATATATTGTTAAAAAAATATCTGTCCTGTTTATGGAATCTAACTATCCAAAACTGTTGCAAAACTGCACAGTTTACCAGTTGCTTCAAGTAAAGGCTGACGTACGTCTTAATGTAAGCTTAATGTATTTACTTGAGAAATAAGTGCTCCTTTTTCACGAAATTAACGAGATGAATTTAAAATCCGAAGAGAAGCTTTTATATATCAAAACAAACATACAATGCCCGTTTAATTGAGCTCTTGGTGTCTCACGGAGAGATACCGCAGGTCCTTTCTTCCAGCAGCAGTCAGGCTGTACAACCACCACGGCCCCTGGTAGACCCCCCCCCCCCACACACACACACACATAGACTGCAAAACCCCTGATCAAACTGTCTGTACATATACAACTTTGTGGAATATACCCTCCTGCAATTCCTGTTCATTTGTTTCTCTCAATGTATTTACAATTGGCACACAGTACCAGCTACCTCTTTAATGTTATATGGTGACTTTAAAACAAAACAAATATACTGCTTATTGTTTACCATTGTATGATATCTGCTATTAGTTATTTACTTATTGTGTTCTTTTATTTTTAATTATGTAAGTAAACTTAGTTATTTTATATTTTTTAATATGTAAGTCTATTCTCCTCACTTCTGATGTTGTAATAATGTAAATAGGCCCATTGCAGGACAAATAAAGGAATTTAAATTATGATTCTGATTAGGAACCTATGGATGAGCTAAGTGCAACTGAGGAACAATTGCCTATTTTCACTTGAGTCATTTAGGAAGGACATTTTCTCAGTTCATTGATATCAATCTTTCAGGAAATGGGGCAAATATGTTTGTGAATGCATTACGCTTCTATGGTGTTACATTTGTATTGTAAACGTGTTTAGATCGCTAGATTGTTGAGCACCTACACAAATAGACAGGAGAGGTGTAACAAAATAAATACAGTTTTGCTATCGTTACCAAAACTAAGATAAATTAATGGTACTAGCATAAAATATAAACGATCCCTGCCCTGGTTCTCATCATTGCAAATGATAGTTGATTGACTGGATTTTAGACTCTCCCTTTATTCTGCAACTGCTTCAACATTGTTGTCCCCACCTTGTCGAGGATAAACCTGTTGAGGTAAGGCATGTAGCCTTGGTTGGACAGCGGTCCTTTATCGTCATCTTTGAAATGCTCTGCAAGGGCCACAGGGTCATGAGGGATCTTCATCACTGTGCACAGGCTGTGGGACAGCACCTAAAGAAACACAATTTAAATGGGAATTAGACACTACCGTAAGACATGCAGGTAAGGGGAAATACATGTCGTCAAGAGACATAAATATGCAGTTATACATTCTTTCCAAATGAACATATGTTTGTAAGTCAAAGAGCTGATGATCAGTCTCACAGTTTTCAAGTTTTGCTATCATACTGTACATGCAAAAACCTTTGCTGACAGTTACAAGCATCGCTAGCCAAGCGTTACTGCTTCCCTTAAAATTGAACTTGTTTACACTTTACCCAGAAGTGACTCATGCCCTGTAGCTTCGTATCAACAAGGATCAAAACTAGATTCTAAAATCCTCTACTTTGAGTCTCCTCTGTTCTCTCCCAATCTGTGGCAGTAGATAGATAGTGGACAATTAGCTTTATACTGGTCATCACAATAATATGAAGACCAGGAAAAACATCTTAAGTAATAGGGAAATGTTTTTGTCAATCTGGACATTGACATCAATCCCAGAAGGCCAACTAAATGTGGCCCAGCTGTCTCTCTGTCTTTTAAATTCAGTCAAACAGCCTGTATATTTTTCAAAGGGGTTTATTATGTGAATTGTTCTTCAATCTTAAAAATCCCTGTATAAGGACATGTGAATAAGGTAGGATAAATAATCAAATCTGACAAGGCCAATATACTGGCATTTCTGCAGTATAGTGAAATACACAATGATTGTATAATTCACTTGTTTACTGTAGTTTACTTAAAAGTGGCAATGTTGCAATACAAGGGTGTCCACTTACAAAACAACCATGAAGGGTTCACAGCAGTTTGAAGTTTAGTATTATTGCATGTGTTGTACAGTACTATTACTACTGGCATATTAATGATGAAGCACTATTTAAATGTATATATGGCCAAGGGGAAGCTCAACTAGACAATAGGGTTAAACTTAGCATTGATGTTGTCTAAGTTCATCTTTAACTATAGACAATATCATAGCTTATCATAATTTAGCTTGTTATTTAAAAGTCTGCTAAACAGCTCAATGCATTGATAGGTTACAAAGTTCAATATGTTCCCCTGAAAGAGCTAATTAGCATAACATACATACACTGTTTGCTAAGTAAAGTTCCTTTAAAAATCGCTAAAAAGTGTAGGATAGGCCTACTTATGGTATGATGTGAAGGTCTTATGTATCTTACTTACGGTCTATTTCTGCTTAAAGAAACGTTACACAGTTCACAGATAGTTTGGGTTTCTATTCACCAAAAGTAAAAAACAGAACTGAAACGCACCTTCAACTGAGACTTGGACACTTTTCCACGTTGATCCACGTCCAGGGCCGTGAAGGCGTGCCATATGGATTTTAAAATCTCGTCTCGAAGCCACATGTCGTCCCTCAGCAGCAGCAGCAGCAGTCTGTGTGTGTGTCGGTAGTTTCTCCGTCCTCTCGAACAAGTGCAGTGGTGATGGCGCAGCAGCAGAGTGAGGCGATAGCGCCACATAACGTTTAATTTATTATCATCACTCACTCGCTGCGAAAATAACGGACCATTTAGGGCAGTTTTGCATGTTGACTGCCATGAGCGGTGGAAAGTACATTGTATCTTCAATCGAGTATTTCCATGTTATGGTTCTTTTTAACTACACTACATTTCAGAGGGAAATGTTGTACCTTTTACTTCACTAAATGCATTTCAAATCTTTTCTTACGCTGAAATGGGCCATTCCCCATAATGAATGATTTCACATCTGTTAATTTAATTATATTTCAATGGTAATAATGTTCTTTCACTTGAGTGAGATTTGATTGCAGTACTTTACCTTGTACATTTCGGTTTTTACAATATAGCTTTCTCCTTTCACCATTGACTGCAAGTAGTGTGTACAGTATATTCACTTCTACTTTTATGAACCGACTCTTTTAACAATATATAGCTAAATGAATTGACCACATTAAAATATTTTGGACATAGATCATAAAGTCAGTTATGGGCTCAAATACACTTTGAGTAAAAAAATAAAGGGCCCTTGAATGATGTAAAAAAGCAGGATCCAACTGAATGGTAGTAGATCAAATCTGCAATTTGCTTCCCCCAGAAAAAAACACAGTAGGCTATTTGGAATTAGAAAATTCTTCATTAATAAAAGGCTAATCCAGCCTGGATTATGGTCCCAATTTAACTGCAATGGCGTTTTTATAATTTGATTAAAGGGCCTGTTTTATCTTTCTATATGTAGCTATACAGTTAACTTGTCTCTGATACAAGAGAAATGTTAGAATCAAGTTTCCCAAAGTGAGTCTTTATATTGGTTGCTGTATGGAGGTCAGAACAGCTCATCTTGTCAGCTGTTATTGTAAAATATTCTGCAGCTCTGTGAATAGACAGCGATGTGCAAAAGTGAAGTTACCTGGAAGAAAGCATTCACGTAACCAATTACTTAGAAAACATATTCATAAATCAGGAAATCACAGATCCCTGTATAAGGAAACACTCCGTCAATGACTCCCTTAATTTTTTTTTGTTTTTTTTTAATGTTGTTGTATATATAGATGGTTTATCCATACACCAACCAAAAGCTTGAGACCTTCACGATAAGTCCAATTGTACATGCTTCAATGATGTATTCAATTGTTCTTTCAGTGCTCACAAACACAAGTCCTGTAGCCATACTGAACACCAAGAGCATTCTCTTTTTTCCTGAAATCAATAAGTTTCTGAGTTGCCCACTGATCCACTCTGTAACCAGATGTGTAACAACCAGCCATTACAGAAGTCGCTTGCAAAGTAACAAGTAACAAAGTTACAGCCGTTTGCGTTTTAAATAGTCTTCAATTTAAAAAATTTGCAGTCTGATACAGAAGGCTAGGAGACCTGAACAATATGAAAGTGCTAGTCATTAATTTACAGAGATCAGGCATCACATAGTGCTATGAAGTATCCAATATGCTACATATGAATACAACTGTTAACACCTTACAAATGCCTCTGGTCGTTTTTCAAGGATACTTGAAAAATCAATAACCTTGGCTTGTATGTACATAAACATGAGTGTTTATGCAGAAAATAACGTAGATATCACCACTACCAGAGGTATAATCTTATTACGGCCATTTGGCCACAACAGTGATAATGAAATATTAAGTCCCATTATCAATTTCTAACTGTTAATCCCCCAATTTTATTTAAGTGGGAAAAAAAACGAAAGAGTTGCCGTCATGGTATCCCCTCCACACTAGGGCTCCAGAACACAACGTTGTTCAGAGCTTCTTCTCTTGCATCGTGCTCAAGTTCTTGGTTTGTTTTCCCCAGCCATTGGTCGCATTTTAGTTGCTTTCCCACATCTTCTGGAACAATTTCCAATTTGACAGATTGAAGAATGACTGAGAAGAACCAGTTCTGGAACCACTACTTAAGGGAACAACACAAGCTTTTTTTCACTTCACTACAATCAGTCACAGAGTAATAAAAAGTAGAACGGATGATTCAATTCATTCCTGGAGCAGTGCCTCCAAAGTTGAAAGTAGATGGCACCACTGGCGCTGTGAACTTGTATCCGCCGTGTTTCTCGATCATCTTGGATTCTGTAATATAATAAGCAACAGTGCATCAAAATTACAAACGTGAGGAAAATAAAAAAAAGTTGTTTCCTGAAGTAAGTGTTGCCCATATAGTACACAGCTGATGGTAGACCATAGAAAGGCAGTTAACATGACGTGATCTGTAGAATGATTTAACATTTCCGTGACCAATCCTCCCATGACCCAGAAGTCCTTTCCCCTCCACTTCCAATCCCCTGAAAGCACCTCAAGGATACAAAGAGCAAGGAGGCTTCTGGATGAGCTGGTGTCAAGGAAACAGATGTCACCTTGACGTGTGTGGCACCGCTGTGCAGAAGTGCAAAGTCTCTGATGTTGCTTCACAGTGCATTGGTTTTTACGACTGAGCTACGATTACACCACACATCATTTATATTCCAGTGAAAAATATGTATTTTTATTCAATCATCCCAGACTCGTGTTTTTTTCGTATAATAAAAGGCACAAAGGCAGTTAGTTGCAACGTGCTAGATTGTAGTTTAATGGGGAAGAAGCTATGAATACTTTAATACATTTTTTCCAGGTAAATGTGGAGACGACATGGACATGAAAACACAACAAAAAAGCAGGAAATAAGAGCATGTAAAAACAAAGTTGCTTTATTGTCAGAAGTTCCGCATCAGAGTTTAATTGGGATATTGCTTTGCAGTCTCAGCAGGCGCTCACCATGTGCTGCCCGTCTCTGGTCTGCAAGTGTGCCAATGTCCTGAAGGTGTTTGCCCTGATCTTCGTCGAGGCCCTGTGTTAGTGCCTGGTACCATGTTGGGTCACGGCTCTGGATATCTGAATCACAGATAACAAAGATCAATTATTAGTTTCACTCAACAATTTCTTATTGCTTTGCAAGTGATTAACACAACAGGTTGTTTTCTTACTTTGTAGTATGGCTTTGAAGATCTGATACTCGTCCACTAAATTGTCTTCATCATCTACAGATGTAGTGTAGCCCTCGAGTGCTGTCTCCTCCGCATCGTCCTCATCCCAGTCATCATCGTCTCCGTCCTCTCCCGCCTGCTTCGCCAGCATCTCCAGGTACTCTGCGCCTTCCTCATCAATGTCATCCTCGTCACTGCCCAACTCAGCTATATGCAATGAGAAAATGTAAGGGAACATGGTTCAGCATCACTTAAATCATCCAACATAGTAATGGTGATCTTGAATGATGCAACACTGAATACATCATACTTCACAAATTAAATTACTTTAGTATCATTTCAAATTCAAGGACCCAACACAGGTTAAGGGTTAACAAATGTTAGAGTGTTTTAATAATTAGAACTAGCCGGCTTTGCAGAACCTCGTAGGCATACATTCAAACTATGAATATGAGGCAACTGCGAGCATCACTCATGCAAACGGCAAAAGGAAGGCTCTTTATGAGGGCTAAGTATAACAAAAGAAACCTCACAACATCTTCAAGGTCTATCCCGCTACAAATATAAACATTCAAGTAGTTTCAAGACCCATGTCATTTACAAAAACTTTGAAGACCTGGATTATTTTCACACTCGTATGCAAAACTTTCACATGTGGGAACAATGTCAAACACTGATGTCTTACCGTTATCGTCATCTTCTTCACCATCTTCATCATCATCATCCTCGTCATTCTCATGCTCTGCTCGACAGGCGTACGCCCTCTTGAGGCCGTTGAACAGAAGGATGGCTGCTGGAATCAGCTGGACGGCCGCCTGGTTCACAACCTGAGGCCTGTGCTCGAGGTCAATGAGAGCACAGATTCCAAGAATACACATCTTCCTGTCGTGAAGGCTGTGAGGGGAAAGCAGGGAACAAGAAGTCAATAGGATTTCTCAGAACTGTTCCGAAATTATTGTTACTAGTTGATTGATCAACTTAATGAATTCACTACGTGTTTGTTTAGCTGATGGTTCAAGTATCACCCGTATTTAAGATCACCCATTAAAAGATTGAAACTTGCAGCCATACTATAAACACTTGACAGGTATGACATTTTTCGGTCACACAGAATAAACCGTCTAATTGCCCGAAGTTTCTATGGTGCTAATTTAGAATTTCTTAAAACTCTTACCCAAGGAAGCAGTCGACATCTTTGAGCCATTGTGTGATAAAGTGGTTCGTGATGGGCTCAGTGTTGTTAGGAAAGCGCAGGTTCTCCAGAGTGTTGAGCAGAAGCGGGGGGCTGTAGTAAAGTCCAGCGATGGCCACCTGCAGACACATGGTCCTCAGCTCACTGGTCTTCACCTCCCGCGTCAAACGCTCCAATGCAGCAGCAACAAACAACGGGACAACCTGCAACAACAGATCATCTTCAATAAAGCAATACTGTTCGTTACCTATATTACTACAGACATTAGAATCAATCGATTAAATATCAAGAGTGTCTACAGTTGAATTGTTGGATACTGACCTGGTCAATGCCACGACCTTTGCACTGCAGAATGATCACCTCCAGCAGCTTGGCTGCATGGCACTCTGGGTCCTCGCCGGGATCGCCTGTCAGGACCTGTGTGAGTGACAGGCTCTGTTCAATCTTCTAACCCACTAACCATCACAAATAGTTTGGAAGTGCTGTCTGTTACATTATGCATAATCATTTCTGACGTTTTACCTTCTTGCACATTGCATAGATGATCTCCAGGTATTTGGTGTCAGATAGGAGTGTGTCTGTGTCCACTGTGACATAGTTGTGAAGAAGTGGCATCATATCTAAAACAAAAACACATTTACTTTTAACACAGAGTTTAACACAGTTTGAAAACTTTATACCCACAGAAAGCAACCTATGTGAATGCAAGCTCCATTCTTTAGCCAAACACACACCTGTGAAGTAGTCAAATCCATCTTGCTGGAAGACTTCATACACCAGTGGAAGGAGCTGCCACATCTGTGCGGA